GCCTAGAAAACACGAAGGCATGCATGTCAGTGGAACAGCCAGGATTCAAATGGTGGGTCCTAAGCATTTTCTTCTCTGTTTTCTCTGGGCTATATTGCCATTGCTTTCCTGAGGGAATATGATTTGGCGAAAATCTTGAGCCCTGGTATCTATTTGGTTCGAATCAGACCTTGAACCAGAGTTCTCTGGAGAGATTTGCTTCTAACAGCAAGGCTTCCTTGGGAGACGTTTTGACTTGGACAGTAGGGAGGGTGGTTCAACTAAGCGGATTAGGAAGAGAACCATAGCTCCGTCTGAAGAAGTGAACCCTGGCCTGCATGTCCAGTATTGGGTTCGGTTGTCCAGCTGTTCTGTCCAGTGCCAAGGGTGGAGACGCCTCTGTCTTCTTCTCAGAAAGCTGTTCTTGGTGCTCAGAATGGGGAAAAGACTCCCTGGGTAGCTGGCCTGACTTACTGAAAACTCATTTACACTTGAGATATGACTGGTAAGCCTGCGCAGTCTGATTACTCATTTCTCACCTGGCTTGTTCATCTTGAGATGGACCGAAATCACCCTTTGTTTTTCCTTGCTTTAGTTTATTATCTTGTTTAATTAGGGGTTGGGGTGAGGGTGGGGGCCTTCAAATCCTGAGCCTGCAGAATCTGAGAGGATCTCGTCAAGGAATAAGGAACTATGTAATATTTCCAAGTAGCATTAACTTCTTCCTGGCAACTGTGAATCTCATGCAATAGAAACCAAATGGTATTTCCCACTACTTGCGAAGTACTTAGCAACAGAAACTCTAAAATCATCCCTGCAGAAAAGAATTTCCCTATCATTATCATCTTTTTTTTTTTTTTCTTCTCCTTGAACTGACAGATTTTTCTCTTTTCTCTCTGTTCTTTTGGTGAATGATTCCCAGCTCTGGCCTATTTTAGGCCCTGTCCTGGAGATACACACAGAGCTAAGGGCTCCCCATCAGAGATCCTGAAGAGTATGGACAGAGGTGACAAGGAAGGGAAGTCAAGGCTGAAACAGGGCTGGGAAGAGGAAACCTCCCCCAGCCTGTGTTGTTTAGTCATGTTTGTTCAGTGAATTGCTCTGTGCCAGGATTAGCTAGAAGGCAGTCAGGCCTGGACCGAGGGAGTCCCCGTTAATGACACCGGTGCTGAAATCCCTGCCTGAGTCATGAGACCTGGGGTAAGCAGTGACCTGAGGCAGAGGCCTGAAGGTGCCACCAACCGACTCTGGAGAAGCCGAAAGGATCTCATTTCTTTATCGATCGATTGTTAATTTGGTTTCTGTCCTTTTTTTGTGCTCTGGACTGGGAGGAGGGCAGGAACCTGATGTGCCGTGTTCACTGCTGGATCCCAGCCTAGTGTGCAGTAGCCCTCAGTAAACACTCCTTGAGTAAGTGGTGAAAGGAACTTGCTGTCTTTGTTTAATTCATCATTGTCTGTCCCCAATGCCGGAATAATGTCTGCTCCACGAAGGCCTGAGCGTTGTGGGTCTTGTTCACTTCTGTAGCCCTAGGACCTCACTCAATGCCAAGCACATAGTAGATGCTTATGGCAGACTCTTCTCTCTTGATAACAGAACCCAAAGTTGTCCAGGCAGCCGTGTTCCAGAGATGGAACGGGACTGTTCTAAGTTGATGGTGACAACCCTGCTCTTGGTGGGGGACTATTTAAGGGTGGTCCCGTGACCCGGTCTGGCCTGTGAAGTGTAAGGGGAAACCTGCCTGCTGGGGGCTTTGGGAAGGTTTTTTTCTCTGATCAGAGGCACAGAGGAGAGGCCCGCTTTTCCTTTTACTCTTTTCTTGCCCGCTTTGCAGTCGCCGTGTTAGCACACGATGTTGTGCTTGTAGCAGTTTTGAGGTCTCAAACCTTGGGAGAAAAGCCACCATGATGTGGTTGAAGGTGCCTTGGTTCTTGATGTCACCACGTCCTGAAACCTTCAGAGGAGCCAACCTCCTCTGGACTGTTCGTTAAATAAACAACGTCCTTATGTTTTAACCATCAGTAGCCCATTTTTCTCCTTCTTGCAGCCAAATGCATCCGAATGAGTTCAGCACTCAATCCATGAAGTGAATAAAACCCTCTACTTATAATCGAGCACTTACTATCTGCTCTAAGCACTTTCCATATGTTAACAAAGAATCTTTGCAACAACCTTATGATGTAGGTAGTTATTATCCTCAGTTCACAGATGAAGAAAATGAGGCACAGGGACCTTAAGTAATTTATTAAAAGTTGGTATCTTTCACTGGGGAGAAATATCCCAGAGAAATCTGCCGAGGGAGTAATAGAATGTGTAAGGGATGGGGGTGGGCCAGGAGTGGGCTCCATCCACTAATGTGGAATTGGCAGTGTGGGTCAATTCTTGGGTGAAACATGCAAGCTGTGTGTGTGTGTGTGTGTGTGTGTGTGTGTGTGCGCGTGCGCGTGTATGTTTGCGTGTAACAAATTTCTCTGAAATTAAAGCAAATCTTCCATGGTCACAACTGGTAAGGGGACTAACATTTATTGAGTACCGACTATGTGCCAACTATCTGTGTCAGGAACTTTGTATCAGTTATTCTCAACTGGATGTGATTCTGTCCCTCAGGGGACATTTGACAATGTCTGGAGACATTTTTGGTTGTCACAACGGGGGAGGGAATGCTACTGGCATCTAGTGGGTACAGTATGCTGTTGAATGTCCTTCGAAGCATAGGATGACTCTCCACAACTAAGAATTACCCCAAATGTCAATAGTCCTGAGGTTGAGAAATCCTGCTTTATATACATTTATTTTTCTTACAAAGACTCACATGTTACAGATTAGGCAACTGAGGCTCAGAGAAGTGAAGTGTCTTGGCCAAGTTCACCCAGCCAGTTAGATCTGGAGCTGGGATGCAATCCAGTTTCATTCCACAGTCATGATGCTCCCACTATGTACTCCCCTTGTGGTAGATAATTGTAATTTCAAGATGAGGCAATTGAGGCTCAGAGAGGTCTTGTGACCAGGCGAAGGTCACACAGCAGAGCTACTCCAAAGACCTCTACAATTTTCTGAGAACCTTGGGAGTCACCCACCTTTTGGGCACAATTGACTCCACTATCTACACCTAGCAGGCTCACCCACCTCACACCCTTTACTCCCCGTCCAGGGAAACTTCACTCACCCAAGGCCCACATCAAATGCCAACTTGTCCATGATCCCAAAGTCACAGAGCTTGGAGGGCAGAAGCTACCCTACTCTCAACTTGTGTCTTTAGGCACTTTCAGTATTTACCCAGAGGCCAGTGGAAGGACAGTCCTGGGTGTTGAAAAAGAAAATAAATAAGCAATAATATTCCCGCCTAAATAATAATTACAGTCTACAGAGAGATATTATATGAATCAACTAATCTACCGCAGAGATCTCTAGTGGGTGAATAGGGATTGTGTGGACAGTCTGGAGAATGGGGCCTGGCCAGAAGGGCTGTTTATACGGGCAACAATAATTAAGAATAAACATTTATAGTGGACTTTCTAGGTGCTGGGTACTGTTCCAAGTACCCAGCACCTAGAAACACATAACTGCGCATGACCCCAGGAGCTACCAACTATTTTTAGTCCCATTATATTGATGAGAACACTGAGGCACTTGGGGCAAGGAAACCAGCCCAAGGTCTCCCAGCTAGCAAGTGAAGTAGCTGGGATTTGAACCTGAGCAGCATACCTTCCTGTGAGGCAGGCGAGGTTATTTGTCAAGCGTCAGCTGATTATCAAGGTCACACAGAGCAACCTGGACTAGAAGCCGGGTTTCCAAGGCCTTACCCTGGGCGGTGGGTAGATGGGAGGGGTACGCGGGCAGAGCAGCTGCCATTTACTGAGAGCATATAATTTCTTCTAGAAAAGGTGGAAAAGGCAGGCTCAGTTCATGGGGGCAAAGAAGTTCAGAAAGAAAAAGGAAGGAATAAGGGAAGGGAAAAAGAAAAGAGGGAGTAAGAGAGAGAGAGAGCGAGCGAAAGAACGGCGCGTCTTCCTTCCCAAGGTCGTGGCAGCGCCCGAGGGAACCCAAAGGGCTGGGTGTCCCAAAGAAGCCACAGCCCGGGCGGGGGCCACCGCTCCTTCTCCCCGGGGCCGGCAAAGAAGTTCAGAAAGAAAAAGGAAGGAATAAGGGAAGGGAAAAAGAAAAGAGGGAGTAAGAGAGAGAGAGAGCGAGCGAAAGAACGGCGCGTCTTCCTTCCCAAGGTCGTGGCAGCGCCCGAGGGAACCCAAAGGGCTGGGTGTCCCAAAGAAGCCACAGCCCGGGCGGGGGCCACCGCTCCTTCTCCCCGGGGCCGGCGGGGGCGCGCGTGCCGGGGCGGGCTGGCTCCTGAGCGCCTCCGCTGAGAGCTTTTCCAACCGGTGTTTACTCAGCCGGAGCAGCGGCCGCGGCGGCCGGACCTGCGTGCGTGTGCCTGCGCGCCGGGTGTCGCGTGTGTCGGGTGGGAGTGGCGTAGCCCTCGGCGGGGGTGGGGGCGCCACGCGTCGCGGCGCAGAGTTGGTGCGCTCGTCTCCGAGCTCCGCGGGGCCCCTTCC